GCAGATGTGATGGTCAAAGTCTCGATGCTCCAGTTACCTCCCTTGATGACCCAATACTAACAAATATTAACCCATACTGCTAGAAATCAATCTATTGCTATACAATAATGGGCCAGTATCACCCAAACATTAGATAAAAGTGCAATAATTTGAATAACAATGTTTATTTTGGGAAAATACATTTTTTTTCAATGTTTAGTCGTTTCATTTATCAGTGTTACATAGATATTTCAAATATTTTTACTTTTTTATAGGAATTAAGTCAGTGACATTGAAGTAATAGCAGAATTATGTCAGTTTGGGATAATAATGAGGTAGTTTATGTCGCCATGCAAAAGGGGGAAAAAGGAAAAGGGAGAGGAAGACTAAAAATAGCTTTGGCCCTTGTTTCGTGGGTGACGGCGTAGGAATATTTGGTGATCTGTGTCCTATATAGGGGTGAAACTTCAGGGATCACCAAAAGGCCTTTTTTATTTCCTTCCCATGTGTTCTGGCAACATGCCGGTGAAAGAAAATCAAAATCAAAGAATAACTGTAAAAATGATGGCCCTTTAAGTACACATGCTGCTTTATGTACACTGGTGCATCTCAGGTCCATAGGCCTTTTGTGCTAAAATTTAAAAATCTTTCTTATTAAAGGCAGTATCTGAGTTCTGTGAAAAAATTAGACAAGTAACAAAGAAACTACATACAAAACACTCATAATTTGGAATTTTTTTCAAAAATATAATTTTTTTCAAAAATATAATTTTTTACTGCCATGTGATGAAAAATGTACAAAATTTACATGTAGCATCTCTCAAAATACCAATAATTTTCCACTTTTTTAAATATCCGGACGGACAAGAAATATATTTTTAGAATCTGTGGACAATATGCAAACAGAAAAAATGCAAACCAGTTGCAATGATTGTAATATTAGAGATCTATACTGAAACATGTATGCCTACCCCCTGAACATGCCACTGATTGAATTAATCTAATCTATGGTTGCAGAACTTACATTACCAAAGAAATCTGTCTAACAGCTATGTTTTACCATCCCTGGCTAACATATGCACATATAAACTAAAATAGGTGCAATAAATATGAATTATGGTTAAAAATAGGCCTTGATGAATGAAAAAAATGCCATATTTGGTCTATGATCACCCCTCTCTAACAGAAGGGTCACAGAATACACAATTTTCACAAATTTGGGAATATTTCAATGTTTCCAACATCTCAAACCTCAGAGGCATGTTACAAATTTGTATTGCAATCCTTGTGCTGAAGCAAGATGTCTGGAACTTTACATTAATTTCCTGAAAAAATGAAGTAAAAAAAGTAGTCATGACAGACTTGACAACATAAAAAGAGGCCTGAAAAGGAGAAAAATTAACATTTTATTGTTTTATAGGCAACATAAATGCAGCAAACACCACAAATGCTGGATTTTGATAAGAAAATATTGAACATTAAACTGACATTTACACATCTACACCAGTTTTATATCTGGGTCTGGTCTCATTGGCCTGAAATGCCTCAGGGTTCTACGTTTGACTCTGAACAAATAAGGGTTAGAAATCCTTGAAATGCACAAAAAAAATATTTTTGGGTGAAAAATAACATTCTTAGCTGTAATTCAACCACAAATTCCAATTAAGATCATTTACATGTCAACACAGGTGCATTTAAATCCCTCAAAACACATTAATAGAAAAGGGTGGGGTGGGGCATTTATTGCCTCTCTAAACAGAATGATGGAGTAAAAAATGTCTAGAAAGGCTGGGATATTGCTTCCTACATGAAGGAAATGCAAGAATTTAATGTTTCAAAGAAGAAAAAAATGCTTATTCTGGGTAAAATAGTGGCAAAATTGAGCCAACCCCTGTTTTGAACATTTTGTACAAACCCATCTGCTGTACATTATTAACTCAGTGTTACCAATTTTCAATTTTCTGTAGGAAAGCTGGAGCTATTTCTAAACCTGACAAACATGTAGATCCCATCTAAGTTATATTAGCAAAGAAAATATGGGCATTTTTAGACATTTTGACTCATTTTAGTAGTCATGAAAATATTAATTTCTACATCCAAATGGGGGGAATCTCAAGATTTTTTGTGAATATTCCTGATTTTTAGACAAAATTTGGTGAAATTTCAATACTGTTCATTTTATCTGTGCTTTCTGAGACTGAATAAGCCAACATTGGGCATTAGAATATTTTACTTACTGTTAAAAGTTCAATAAAAATTGAAAATTGAGAAATTTGCAGTAAAATCACAATTTTTCTTCAAAACTTTGATTTTTTTTTTTTAATTAACTTTTTTTAGTTGTTCTGTAGCCAAACTATTTTATTCATATTTTCTGAGAATTTAATCTTCATATTTTCAAAACTAAGGCATATCAGTGACAGCCTTATCACACACAGACAGGACACAGATCACTAAAGATTTCCCATTGACTCCAATGTTAATTCTCGTATCTTAGACCGGCTCTAACTTTTTCCCAAATTTTCGTTGGGTAGAACGCTTTCTACCACAGATGGAGCAACATGTGGCAACCACTTGCCCAAAAGCACGTATGAGGTTCTTCATGAAAAACTTGAGATACACAAGCTGGAAGTAGAGACAAGTAAACATGCAATTTCAGGCCCTACATTTCAACGTAACCAACCTCTCAACTCTTGTATCCTTCCGCATCAAAATTATGAATATTCACCAAAACCTGGCAGAAAATGTATTTTCAAACCCTTTTCCTCAATTCTACACCAAAAAGTCAACAAAAATCGCCATGCAAAAGGGGGAAAAAGGAAAAGGGAGAGGAAGACTAAAAATAGCTTTGGCCCTTGTTTCGTGGGTGACGGCGTAGGAATATTTGGTGATCTGTGTCCAAATGTAAAACTGTAAACATAGTGGATTGTCTCCCCATAATTCATATCTTATAGAATCCAATGAAATCACCAGTTGGCGCTTATATACCCTACACCATCCGATCAAGTCACGTGTTTTAATAGTACTTTTATTTATTGCTTACTTACAATGTCCGTGTGTTGTGTGCAGTGTGCAACTATTACATAATATAGTCAGAAGATAAGACACAATACCTTTAATATCAGGTCTACCTCAAGGTCAAATACTATGCCAAAATGTGTTACGGTCATAACGGTCTTATCTGATAGTGGAAGATGACGACTCATCCTTTCCTGGTCACAGCGACACCTAAACATGACAATTGAGCCAGTATTTCAGGAGATATAGATATATAGTTTTGAAACTTAATGCAGATACGACTGAGTATTTATTTATTGGGTCGTCTTTAAACAGGAAAAAGTTAAACTTTGATCTATCGATACAAGCAGGAGCTAGCGGCATTGTCCCTTCTCATTCAGCCCGTACTATTGATGTAATTTTTAACTCAAATTTTTCTTTGGAAAATCACATAAACATAAGTTATTTTAATTTAAGAAACATAGCTAAAATACGTAAATATCTGTACGTGGCTTCCTATAATTTTTAGAATTGAATATAAGATTTTATTATTAGTTTGCCGAAGTGCTGTTTTCTGGGGGTTGTAGCTTATTCCAATACTAACGACGAAAACTCAGATAAATAGTTAAAATTATACTTTTAATAAACGAGTGTCCAAAACTGGCTAAGGGTCACAATAACGAGATAGGTATCGCTAGGGCGAGCCGGTCACCAGACTAAAGTTATAGTAGAATATAGAACATATATATACAAGCTTAGGATTAAAATAATTATATAATAATATTTGATCAGAGATATTAAATTGTACCTAGGAAACAGATGTTTAAATACAGAATAGCAAGAACGCGTGTTTACTATAATTACGTAATATATATCGTTACATTAAGTATAAACCCAAACAGTTTAAAAGACTTGAAAGATTAGCGAGATATCAATTCGGACATTGGTCAATTGCTATTTTGACTAAAATTAAATAGTAATAAAATATATACAAAGATATACTATAACAAGGTTTTAAATGCATAAATAACATTGCATTTATTTATCTTAGTAATATTTTATGTTTTTATGAAGCTCGTCGACAATTACGGTCTTCCGGTGACAATCTGCTACTTATTGAGAAAAATGCTAATCTCGTCAGTTTCGGCAAGAAGGCTTTTGAGCTTTTGAGGTTACTGCCCCCAAACCATGGAATAAACTTCTTTATTTCATTCGGTCATGTACTTCTCTGTCATCATTTAAGATATCCGTTACAACCCACATCTCTATGATAATTATATCTATATTTAATACATTACTTCCTTTTACTCAACTTTTATATTATTTACTTTTTATGTTCTAATCCTGTATTTGTTTTGTCAATTTGTTTTTAATATCATATTATGTTTATTGTAAAGCGTCATTTAGCTCTTATGAATAATAATAATAATAATAATAATAATAAAAGGGGGCGGGCGAGAACAGATGCCTATGTCTCAGAAGACGCAAGTCTGATCAAGCAGCCGAACCATTGAAATCCGGCTTTTTCAAGCACAGAAAGCCTACTGAGCAAGCTTGATGGAAATCTGAGATGGCCAGGTTTAGGTCCTTGGTTGAATTGACATGGAAAACCACTATTTTTAGTAACATCCCCAAGTTGCACTTACATGCAAGGTTATGTAATTAATCTTGCTGCTATCTTGGTCACAAAAATATAGAACCATAGAAATTCACAGCTGTGCTGATACCAGGAAGATAAAACAGAATTACTTTACTTTTTAGGACCGAAATAAAACGCGAAAAAACAACACAAAGGTGACAGCTGTATCGATACCAGAATAATGACCTAAATGATACGTGAAACCACTGGAAATAATTACCTATAGTGAGGCACAACACCTTTTATATCCAATACTGCTTGTCGTGTGCCATGTTTATGTTACTAAAAGTGCAGGGTTATGTAATCTGGGTCACACACCCACACAGATAAAATTAAAGATTCTAAAATCAGTATACAATAAATACCATTGGCTTCACAAACGATTTTCAGACATGTTGCTTTTTCTTATTTTACCTTTTATACCAACAGTTATACCAGCTCGTCCTGGGTTTATTGATACTGGCAATGTAGAATGGAGAGATTGTGGTAGGTATATGCACCCATTCGTCTTGGCTTGATAGATATTGGCAGTATAGAATGCCGATATTTTAGTTCATACACATCAGTTCCTACATGAGGTAGCTAACAGTACGTTCTTAACCCGGGTATTAGGCTCTCACTACTACCATATGCCCAACCGCTCTCTGGGTTGCCCTTGGTAACCTCTCAATGCATACAAATCACTGCCTCTACTATATGAATGCGAATGAGCGGCAAGTATAAAATAGGGGCGCCATGTCAGCATGCCATGTTGGGCGTACAAAGATCGCGCTGTAAACTTTTTGCAAACAACTGTTGGTTGTATAATGATCGCCATAGTCGCAAAGCCTAGTAGAAATGCTGTATCACCGATTACGAACGGATCAAGTACTATTGTTAGTCCACCAGTCACAGGGGACGATTTCTGAGAACCTGAGTACCTTTCACGATTTGACCTCATATGCATGCCCGGGTTTGGTGCTCATGGCAACCATCTCTCGCCCTGGAGAGTTTTCCCTGCGTCACCCAATCGTTCTCAGAGACGTAAATTTACGTTGCCACACAACACGCTTTCATACTTTTCAGATCGAAGTGGCAGGGCAAGTTCTAGAATTTTAGTAGTAGGTGTCCAGGGCAGAGACAGCATAGTTAATATTTCTGCTCATTTTGGTGAATGCATGTATAGGATTAAAATGGAGTGAGGTCAAATGTCGGCGGGTTTGTCGATTTGTTGGTTTCCGCTCAATGACAGACAATGAGACTAAACGGAGTGAAAATATACAATACTTGTGTTCTTTCATAAATTTTCTTTGTTCCTTTCGAGAGCCCCTGGTTGGATAACATTGCCTATGGTTGTTTGTTTCTTTCTTTTCGCAGTTTCTGCATTGCTGAATTTGTATGAGTTGCTAGTTTATTCTCCCCCAGCTTTTGCTTTGAATGCTAGTGTAGTAAAGTACGACGTTAAACCCCATTTCATTTGTTTGTACACAATGAGCCTTCAACCTATATTTTTAATTTCTATATCTTTAAAAAGGTAACCCAGCAGACACTTGGGTGTCCATTAGTGATTTTGATGTCACCCCTAAACCAGTTCCTATGTCCGGTGATATGTATGTTCTATTGACGACCGAACTAAAGCATCAGTTGAACTCAGCCGTCAGCATAGATGCTCTTTGGGAGATGGACATACAGGGAAACTACACTGCAATTTTTTGCAAACAGAACTCTGGAACATGGTAAGTGTCGGATCATTGTGAGTAAAACTCAAAAAAGGTTTTAGATAAGATTTTCAGGGATATCTTCTTGGCATTTGCGGCACTGTATTGAAGCTAAAACGTCTAAAATCTATTGACATATGCGACTATTGATTCATGGTAGCCGTCGGAGCATTGTGAGTTTAACTTGCGAGTCACCCTAACTTCTAAAATATATTGCTAGATGCGTCTCCGTGTCAACATCATTGGTCGATGTGTTGAAACATGGTGAGTATATACTTCAAAATATCTAGAATAAATCTTTGTGCTACTATATCTTCCAGAAACTGTGTTGAATCGTTTAACCATCGTCGTTCAGGCTACCGCTTAACTAGTGTCACAAATGATTTCTTATCGAATTCCTTTTAATGCCAATTTTTCCTTTTACAGTCAGTTTGGTGATATATGTAATTTTTTGACCAGCTTGAGCTCCCTTGTGTGGCCATCAGGGTGCCCAAAGCAGTTAGCTGATAATGGTCTACCTTGTACCTGTCCATTTAATCCCACTCAGATCAATCTTCCAAGAGTTAAATTTACCAACACGCTTATTCCTGCTCTGTCGTGGGTTATTACGGTAAGTATTCTATCGTCATCTGGACCTTATTCGCCTTTCGCTACAGATATCTATGCTTCCTCGCGGTCAACTACAGCTATATACCCTTCCTCGAATCTCCTCGCGGCTCGTTACAATTACCCATTCTTGGTAAATTCTAGATTGCGGCGACGTGGAAGGTGCGCCGTAAATCATGTTGTCTGTTTTGATCCAAGATGTACAAGACAAGATGGAGTTACCCAGTTTTCTCCCACGGCTATAGTGATGTCGACAATAGACGTAACGTAGGATTTTATTGTACCGGGGGTGATATCAAACACATGAGTAAGTTTTTGACAACAATAATTTGTTCATACAGGAAAAACTTTCAGCCCATTTTTCGCGAGCGTTTTGGGCGGCGGTTATATGGAAACGCTACAGTTACATTTGCATTAAAACGAGATTTTCGCCGGAGCAAACGCCACCAAAACACGTACTAGGAATACGGGCCTTTTTTGTTTTAGCATAGATCACACAGTATAGTCATGGCCAAGGTTATAATAGAACTATGATTTCATTTCAGGGAAGCCACCACATTAAGTTAAGTCTTAAAGATAAAACAAATTCTATTGTTCGAGGATGTCTTGAAGTTTATTTAGACACTGGCATATAAATAAAACCGTTTTAAGATTTGTTTGTATTCGTTTTGAGGAAATGGGCCGAGGGTGGGGAAAAGATGGAGGAGGGGGGGGGGGGAACTGTATATCCTGGGAGACAATGGGAAAGGGGGTACGAACAATCCAGATTATTAGAAATAAATAGAAGTCCTAACGAAAAATAAAACTAAAACCGATGTGGTCTAGATAGTGTAATCAGCAAGAGAGGGGAACACAAACATATAGTTTGTATGAGAGAGAGAGAGAGAGAGAGAGATTTTGTTTAAAGTCCACTCGACACAAACTAGGTCATTTCGGGACTAACATATTGTTCCATCTTATTTCAATAATTCGCTTGCCCGTAGGGGTCTTTAGCAGTGTGAGGACACGGAGATATATCACCAGGTTGGACCCTGCTCGTTAAAAGGGTTATCGAAATTTTATCGATTTCATAAAATTGGATTAACCGGCGCACCAGAGGCCTAGACAACAGTAACTCACTTCCAGAAATGAATGGTGGCAGAATTGTCAATGAGTTAGTCTAAGAAAGTAGAATAATGCAAGGTAATAATAGTAATATAATAATATGTACATCTATATAGCGCTAGTAATCCATGCACAGAGGCATGCTCATAGCGCATACAGTTAATTAATCTACCAGTCACCCATTTGTTTGATACATCGTATGAAACAGAGCACCTTTCATAGAACTGAAATAACCCCTATAGTATTACACTTAATTATCCCGGGACTTACCAAACATTTCCTTTCTCTTCAATACAACTGCCACCCCCTTACAGTATTATTTAGTTTTTGACATATCTCTATTTTAGTGTGATAATTACATATTTATAAATGCATTGTTCCAATTGAAATATTTCTCTGGAATTCAAGCACCAAACCTTGCAAAAACTAAAGGTTTACAGCTATACAAGTAGAAATAGTGCTTTCTGGGATTTAAACGGGTTATAAAATAGTCGTAATTAAAATTTATTGATTTAATCTACAAATGACGAACTAGACTCGAATAACAAGTATCGTTGTTAAGATAATAAACAATTCATGTCGGATCTTGCCAAACCTTTTAACAGTGATATCTTCGCTTAAAATCAAGTTTTGAATGAACATTTCAGTCCCCTCTTTATCTCAATCGTATTTTTAATCTGCTGGTGACCTATATCACCGGGGTTATAAAATTTAAAACACTGGACAGGTGAATGTGATGGTGACCTGCATCCACCGGGCTCGCTTTCACCCCAGACGCATTCAGTTTCTGAAATCCGGGTCCAAACAATGGTGGTCAAGCGGTCAGTTTCCAATACTGGCATGAGCTTAGTACATTCAGGAGTTTTTAATCCCAGTGATGTCTTGTATCGTACAGGTTTGGCAAGGACAGAGTTGCTTAGTGGTTTAGTTGAGACAGAAAACCAAGGCCAGCGTTGCCTAGTCGTTTGATGTTCTTGTATACATTATGCTCGCTTGCATTTACACACATAACCGGACAGCTCAATACGAAGGAGGGTGAGATTGGGGTTAGGTGTATGGAATCGTTGTAGTTAAAGAGGAGACAATTTGAACTGGTGCGTTCGACTATCATCTTTCCTGTGCTAAATATGAGGATCCTCCAGCTTCCCCACTGCTAAATGTGAGGATCCCCCAGCCTCCCCCACTGCTAAACATGAGGATCCCCCACTGCTAGATAGGAGGATCCCCCAGCTTCTCCCACTGCTAAATGTGAGGCTCCCCCAGCCTCCCCCACTGCTAAACATGAGGATCCCCCACTGCTAGATATGAGGACCCCCCAGCTTCTCCCACTGCTAAATGTGGGGATCCCCCAGCCCCCCCCCCCACTGCTAAACGTGAGGATCCCCCACTGCTAGATATGAGTATCCCCCAGCTTCCCCCACTGCTAAATGTGTTGATCCCCCAGCTTCCCCCACTGCTAAATGTGTTGATCCCCCAGCTTCCCCCACTGCTAAATGTGTTGATCCCCCAGCTTCCCCCACTGCTAAATGTGTTGATCCCTCAGCAGCTTCCCACTCAGCTAAATGTGAGGATCCCCCACTTTTAAATGTGAGGATCCCCCACTGATGAATGTGAAGATCCCCAGCTTCGCCCACTGTGAAAGACCTTTTACGCGCAAGCGAGTTTTTAAAAATAAAAACCATGATATGTTATGCGAACTGATAGATTCGAGTGAACGTTAAAACCCATTTCTCGCTCTCTGCACTACATCTGCCAGTCCATAAGTTGTTGGAAACTTGGGATTACAGCTTTTGTCTATTTTCTAATTGTTTTGCGTCAAAGTCAGTAACAGACGTTTTTATACTATAATAATATACAAAAATAATTTATATTTACAAGGGGGGGGGGGGGGGTTGAATGGCCGAATGGTTAACGCGTTGTATCATAAGGTCTGTCATTGAGTCAACTGGTGTGGTTTCGATTCCCCGGTTGTACGGAATAGGATCGCCTGTCCATCCTCGTGGGATTTTCTCCGGGTCCTCTGGTTTCCTCCAACTGCTAAAGACCCTTACGCGCAAGCGAATTGTTGAAATATGTTAGTCCCGAAATGACCTAGTTTGTGTCGAGTTGACGTTAAAACCCATTGCTCCTCACCCCACTATTTACAAGCATAGATTAGGTTTACATTAGGATTATTGTGTAACCATTACAAGGCAGGTGTTATTACCTAGATTAGGAATATAGTATGACCATTACAAAGTAACTGTTACTATTTTTTCAAATGAATATAAAATTTCAAACAAATACAATTAATAATTTAAATTTCAATAAACATGTTTTCTCTGTTTAATACTTTACTACATAGTTCTTTATACTGTTCCACATTCCTCAACAACAGTTATCGAGTCTTTGAAATTTATTTCGTTTTTTGGTATATTCTCAGCAATATGAGCAACGTCATTGGACATAAAGTTATTAAATATGTAAAACAGAAAATATTTGCTTATATCAAATTAAATCTAAAAGTTACAGTTTTCTATCAGTTATGAAATGAAGTATAGAATATAACAATTAGAGAAATACTTGAACAAATGATTACTAATTTCATTATCATGATTATTAAATTTACATATACACTAGGGTGAGGGTAATTATCCAATTACTACTGCGCTAGTCGGAATAAGACAAAACTTTAAAATTTAGCTAGCAGTAAAATTTGCTATCTCTGATATGGTTTAATGATGATGATCATCATCATTATCCGGATCAATATCATGATCAAAATCAATATAATAATAAAAACTATTATCTTTATCATCATAATCACCAAATGTATGAGCAGTATCATCATTAGGACATATTCCGTTTTTTAGAAAATCTTGTCTTAGTTCATGATCTGTATTGAGAGTAAAATACTGGTAGTTATACAGACTATAATGACCATCCCTATCCCTATCTATATCATAGCCATTATAATCATCATCATCATCAAAATAATTACAGCCATCATCAATATGGTTTACATTGTAATCTTGTGGATGAAGAACATCTTTTAATAGAAGAAAATCATTTAAAATACGAGGTAATTCTAGATCCTTAACCTTTTCCTGTATTCCTAATCCAAGATTTTGCCTGATTATTCTTCTACACAGTGAAATAAGAGGTACATTACTACAGAAACTAATAAATTCTTCCCTGTCACGTGATGGAATTATGTCGTGGTCTTCCTCATAAAAACTTAATTTTGTCATAATTTCCCCCCCTTTGGCGCCACTAAGATATAACAGTTTTCTCAGTTTATCCCTGTCTTGAAGACTTAACTCAGTAAAATTAATTTGGTTATAGTTACATTTACTTTCAAGTGAAGATGATACGAGAATCTGAAGACAACAGTTTTGGGCAATTAAATATCTAATGAAACAAATGGCTTGAAATGGTTCCCAGAAGCGGGGAAAACATAAGGCTGTTTGGATAATCGTATTAGCATCCATACAGGGTATATTGAGCAGACCAGTATTATCATTACCATTAGATAAAAGTAATTGAAAACAAGTCAAATCAAACACACTCTGATAAATATTAAGATATTGTAGAGCAGATCTTCCTGAATAATCTAACATGGTAACTATGGCACCATCTTGAAGTAGTTTCCGTGTAAGAACTCTGTCGTTTTTCATTGCTGCCTCCATTATCTGGAATATTTACATCTATTCCATCAACACCAGGCCATGTATATTGGATATATCTGTCTACAATAGTGCTTAACAACATCATTTAAATGTCTCTTGTTCAAGCCATCTTTAAACATCGTAAATCTAATTATACAAATGTGAAGAGCTGTATGACCCTGGTTATTTTGTGTATTGATCTCTAGTCTGGGATGATGTGTCATCAGCTCTAAATATTTACTGTTTAATAAAAAGGCAGCTATCATAGTAGGTGTGTTGGTTTTAGAACAAGGATGGTTGATGTCTAGCTCGTTATTTAGCAACCAGTAAAATTCGGTTAGAGAATATTCATAGTTAACACGAGCTAAAAGGTGAAGCATATTTTCTCCTTCAGCTGTAACGCCATTAACAATCAATTGCCGCCCAATGTAATAATTGAACAACTCTAATCTTTTACAATTTAAAACATCAAGGAATAACTTAACTCCGTTGTTGGGTGACTTTAGATCTAAACCTGCATCTACTAAAGTTTGAAAGACGGCTGTCGAATTCAGCATGTGAAATTGGACACAATAACTAATTGCTGTATCATTATAATTATCAGTTAAACTCAGATCAGAATGCGGAACTAACAGTTTTAATATTTTGATATCAGCTTGATATTTTACGTTGTTCATTAAAGCCGTTTGTCCCTGCTCGTTTTGGTGGTTTACATTACAACCCGCTTCTAATAAAATGCTAATCAATTTAGATTTCAATGGAACATGGATGTCCTGTCCTGTCTCTAATTTCAATTTTACTCCGTACGATTTACCCATACGCCACCCAGGGATGTCATCAGACGCGTTATGTTTACCAACATAGAACAGCGGGGTATTACCTCTATAGTCAGGTTGGTTTATGTCTAATTCCGTTTTTAGTAAAGTATTAACGAGCTGTATATATTTCTCGTCATATTGCACAAAGGAACACATATAACTTAAAACATAGTGAAGAATGTTGCGTTTCAAACTGTTAACATAATTTACATCTACATAATTTAACAGATAGACCACAACTTCATACAGTCCTCTAAAAGCAGCTATAAATATAGGGGTCAGTTTTTCAACATTCGTCTGGTTGACGTCTACACCAGCTTTAATTACTTGACGTATACATTTTAATAACAAATCACGTGTACCTGTATTGTCGTGTCTGTTACAATAACGTATAAGTGTATGTAGCAGGCTGTTGCCACATATATCAACATTTGTATCAATACTATGTTCTAACAGATATATCACAAGTTCATAGAATCGTTTACAAGCAGCTATAGATATAGGTCCATATTTATATTTATTCAACTGGTTGGCGTCTACACCAGCATCAACTAATTTAACCACGCATTGGAATAACAAATCACGTCTATCTCTTTGGAAATACATGTCATCGCTAGCTACAAGGACGTGCATCAAGGTGCCAAGATCACTATCAACATAATGTATATCAACTCCGTATTCTAACAGATACATCACAACTTCATATAACCCTCGCATAGCAGCTATAAATATAGGTGTATATCTATCTCCATTCATCTCGTTGACGTCTACACCAGCATTAACTAATTTAACCACACACTGGAATACTAAATCACTTCTCTTGTCATTGTCGTAATAGCAATATAAAAGTATGTTCAGCAGTGTGTACTGATTGCGATTAACATGATGTAAATCAACACCGTGATTTAACAGATATATCACAACTTCATACAACCGTTGTTTAGCCGCTATGAATATAGGTGTCTCATTATCGCCATTCACCTGGTTGACGTCTACACCAGCATCAACTAACTTAACTACACATTGTAATAATAAATCACGTCTACCTCTATTGTCAAATCTGTTATTATCTAAAAGTATGTGTAATAGGTTGTTCTGACGACTATCGACATAATGTAAATCAATATCATGTTCTAACAGATTTATCAAAATTTCATACAACTGGTACTCAACAGCTATATATAAAGCTTGCTTCTTATCTTCTATTGATAATGTTTCTACCACTTCTATATCTCCATCGGATTCAGTTTTGTGTAGTTTTGATATCAGTGGCCTGAAATATGTTGAACATGTTGTTTTAGTTTTAAAGATAACAATGTAAAACCACCAGATATTTTTAACTTAAAATGATTCAATAATTAATCGAATGCGTCTATATAGTAAAGCTATTTTAATTTTTTAAAATGCAATTTTCTACATACACATGAAAGATTGTTACATGAGTTATTCACACCGGCGGTTAGTTGGGGTGTTATTAGAACCTGTCCACCAGAGTTTCTTTTTAACAGTATACCTTACCCCAGGTAACCCTGATGATCACCGTATCCACTATACCTTACCCCAGGTAACCCCGATGATCACCGTATCCACTCTACCTTACCCCAGGTAACCCTGATGATCACCGTATCCACTATACCTTACCCCAGGTAACCCTGATGATAACCGTATCCACTATACCTTACCCCAGGTAACCCTTATGATCACTGTATCCACTATACCTTACCCCAGGTAACCCTGATGATCACCGTATCCACTATACCTTACTCCAGGTAACCCTGATCATAACCGTATCCACTATACCTTACCCCAGGTAACCCTGATGATCACCGTATCTACAATAAGCTAACTATACCCCAGTTAATCCTGATGTCCACTGTATCTACAATATGCAAGTGTAGATGGTGGACAGATTCTAAAGTATGGTCTATTTAATATACGAACCCGTCTGCCTTCATCTTGGTTAGCTGTTGGTCGATATCAAGTGGCCTTTATTATGTCAACGTCACTAAAATGAACAAATAAATAAAGACTATTAGATATATATATATATATATGTATATATACAATACCCGAAGTGGCTATTGCTGGAGGATAGATTCTACAGTATAACAAACTTAAAACACGAAATTGTGGTCTTCAATCAACCGTCTTGTTTAACTGCGGCCTTTATGTTATATGTGTAATGCCCCTCTTCCAAATATGGCTAAGCGGTGTTATATTGCTACAAGATGAAACTCAAAGGACACAAGTCGCTAACTAAATATTAAACACTGTCTTTGACATTGCAAACAAGACTTATCGGTTAATTCAAACCGCAAAAAGATGGGCTTCTGATATCCAATTTGTAAGACAATATGAAAATTGTGTATCAGAATACTCTCGAGCGCAGATATAAATAGTAAATTATTAAGTTATGATAAATCGTGTAATGTCTATTAAGTTATAGAATTAACAATATCATATCAAACCGAGTAGCCTATATACAGCAGATTGTAAATATTTGTGAATATACAGTTGTAATAAATTATAAAATCAATAAATGAATTGAAATGAAATGGGGTTTAATGTCCTACTGATACTGTAAAATCAATATAGTTATAGAATTAAAATTCGCCCATATAAAACAGATTGTATAGATTGTAAATTTCAATACACTTAATATATATATGTCATATCTAATAAAACCACATGAATGATTGCTAAATTAAAATACCGTTTTATTAGAATATCCCCCCTGGGGTGTAGGGGGTGATAAGAATATACCCTTCGTATTTCCTGCGTGTCGTAAGAGGCGACTAAAAGGATCCCTGTAATGGGGCAACGTGTTTGCCGTGCGTTGCGACCCGTGTCGGTGGAGAGTGGAATCCTGGTAATTGAGTGGGGATTTGGCTTGCGAGCCCTTTCTCTGCAACACATTGCTTCGGCCCACAATTCACCTAGACGGGAGGTCAGAGTGGCCCGCTCTGATCAATCGGCTTTGGTCGTGTTTAGCTGACGAGTAGGCGCATCTTTTCCACTATTCTGTAATGTATTTGTTGCAGATCTACCTTTGTGTCCTACGTGCCTACTCTAAAGCAGCGGCTTGGGTCAACTAGGTAGAGTAAAAATATTTAATCTTTACTTTGTCTAGGTATATCCCTGTCTGTCCTCGTAGGGCGCATGCGCTGGATATCCGCGCAGTAGCCTGCATTGATATTGTAACCCTTTGGTGGTTGGAGAGCAGGCAGGGATGAATCTTTTAAATTACTCAAATGGCTTCTCAAACCAAGAAGACTCGTACTACCAAACGTATGTCGACCGAGGATTTAGAACCATTACCAATAAAAACTTCCCGAACCTGGCCTAGATTTCTGGTCATACAAAGTACTAACGATATCAATCTTAGTAAAACATCTCCTTTTTTGATTGCTAAAGGTCTTGCTGGCTTGGCTGGTGAGCCCAAAAGCGTCAAGAAAATGAGAAATGGTACTTTGTTAGTGGAATGTGCTAAAGAATCACATGCTACTTCATTATTAAAATCAAAGACTTTAGCCAACATTCCTATCAAAGTTGCACCGCATAACTCTCTAAATTCATCAAGAGGTGTTATTCGGTCTCAGGATTTAGAAGGCAGCTGTGAGGAAGAGATGCTTGAAAATCTCGCCTCACAAGGTGTTACATACGTCAAACGTATTTCCATCAGACGTAATGGTAATATTATCCAAACCAACACCTATATCCTGACCTTTGATAAACCAGATCTTCCTAGGATGATCAAAGCTGGTTTTCTTGCCATACCAGTTACCCCGTACATTCCCAATCCATTGCGTTGTTTTCATTGTCAACGCTTTGGACACAGTAAAAACGTATGTAAGGGGAAAGCGATGTGTGCTAGATGTGGACAAGATGGTCACGAAAGTACATCTTGTCAACTCGACCACCATTGCATTAACTGCAAAGGGCCTCATTTTGCTTATTCTAGAGAGTGCCCAATATGGAAGAAAGAAAAACAAGTGCAGCAGGTGAAAACAGAAAAAAACATACCATATCCTGAAGCAAGGAAGCTGGTAGAGGCTGCAACCCCAACATTTGCAATGTCTTTTGCAAATGCAGTCAAGCCCAAGACCACTTCCATTGCTTGTCAAACACCTGCTGTATTTCCAGCTGCGACGGAATCCTCGTCACCACCGAAACCTACCATTCCTCCAAAGCCCGTAAATATTTCTCTCAACACCCAGACTGCTAATAAGTCTGGGGAGTCTGAGATTGAGGAGATTGTGCCTCCCACTCCTCAACCAATTGGTGGAAATCCACCAAAAATAGATATTACCAAGGAACGTTCTGGTAAAGGCGTTCCTAAAAATTCTAAATTGGCTACCTTCCGTAGTAGGAAGGGTGACGAAGATCCTGTCGGAACCTATAACAGGTTCGGGATACAGGACAATCTAATGGATGTTGTTGTAGAAATACATGACCCCAAACAACATCACAGAAGTCCTGTTAAACCTCCCTGAAAATGGCTAATTCCATTATTCAATGGAATTGTCGTGGTCTGAAACCAAATTTTAATGAAGTTCAAATCTTAATTCAAAAATTTAATCCCTTAGCTATTTGTTTACAAGAAACTTTTTTAAAGAATTCAGATGTCGTAACACTCAGACATTTTGTTGCCTATCATTATTTTGCTAATAATGATGGTAGAGCACACGGTGGTGTTTCCATTTTCCTTAATGGAAATATTCCGCAGAGCAAAGTCACCCTCAATTCGCCTTTACAGGCAGTTGCAGTGAGGGTGACTTTACATATTCCTATCACACTCTGCTCTGTATATTTACCACCTAGTTTACATCTGAACCCCAGAGATCTTGATGACCTTGTTGCACAACTTCCTCTCCCGTTTATAATTACGGGAGATTTCAATGGTCATCATTCACTCTGGGGCAGTCCAGATGACAATAACAGAGGTAAACAAATAGCGGACTTCATTAACATTAATAATTTGTGTTTATTAAATGATGACTCGCCTACTTATCTACATCCTGCCACAGCTTCTTTTTCTTCTCTTGATCTAACCATTTGCTCTCCGGTCCTGTTTCAGGATTTTACATGGAGAGTGAATGAAGATCTGTGTGGTAGTGACCATTTTCCCATCTTGATAGATAATAATGGTCCCTCTCCGGTTGAAAGACCGCAGAGGTGGAAGTTACATAAGGCTGATTGGGCTCTTTTTGAATCTTTGTGTCTCTTCTCTTTTGATGCAAAAGAGTTAGAAGATGCAGATGAGCCCATGGCCTTATTCACTTCAATTCTTCAGGATGTAGCTGAGCAGGCGATTCCGAAGACCACGACTGAGCCCAAACGTTTCAATAAACCATGGTATAATAACGATTGCAAATCCGCTCTTAGAGAGCGTGATCGCATCTTAAGACGCCTTGAGAATCACCCTTCCATGGAGAATATTGCAGCATACCAAATGGTCCGGGCGAAGGCTCGTAGAACCATACGCCAAGCAAAGAAATCTTCATGGCAAGGATATGTCTCAAGGATCAATTCCCGCACCACTTCTAAATCGGTATGGGATAGGATTCGTAGAATTAAAGGTAAAAGTAGTGCATTATCAGTTAACCATCTAAATGTTGACAATACCACCTTAACAACATTTCCTGATATTGCTAATTCTCTGGCCTGTACAATTTCATTCAATTCATCATCCAATTTCTCCTCGGATGCCTTTCGGGGCATTAAACATCAACAGGAGAAAAGGCGACTTAATTTCAAGTCCCGTAATGATGAATGTTATAATGAAAAGTTTTCTATTGCTGAACTCCGTGATTCTCTTAAAAGGGCTAAGGATACTGCAACTGGTCCAGATGAAATTCATTACCAGATATTAAAACATTTACCTTTTTCTACACTTTTAATATTATTAGATCTTTATAACCGGATTTGGGTTGATGGGAATTTTCCCCCTTCATGGCGTGAAGCCATAATAATTCCCATCCCTAAACCGGGGAAAGATCCTACGAATCCTACCAATTATCGTCCGATCGCTTTGACTAGCTGCATTTGCAAAACCATGGAGAGATTGATCAATCGAAGGCTTGTTTGGTACCTGGAGTCCAACAACCTCATTACAGACCTCCAATGTGGATTTCGGTCCCAAAGGAGCACTCTTGATCATCTCGTTCGATTTGAAACGTTTGTCAGGGATGCTTTCATCCAGAAACAACATTTAGTTGCTATATTTTTTGATCTGGAGAAAGCTTATGATACCACATGGAAATATGGTATCATGCGCGACCTGCATAACCTCGGTCTGCGGGGTCGCTTACCTATCTTCATTAAAAATTTCTTAGAAGATAGGTCGTTTAAGGTACGCTTGGGATCAATATTCTCTGACCCATTTCCCCAGGAAATGGGAGTCCCTCAGGGAAGTATATTATCTCCCACTCTTTTTTCCATTAAGATAAATACCATACCATCGTGCCTTAAACGCGGGGTCGACGGCTCTCTTTATGTTGACGACTTTCAGATGTGTTACGGATCGACAAGTATGCAGACAATCGAACGTCAGTTGCAGCTTTGTTTGAATTCTATTCAACGATGGGCAACTGACAATGGATTTCGATTTTCGAAATCCAAGACTGTTTGTATGCACTTTTGTCAGCGAAGAGGTTTACATCCTGATCCGGAACTTACACTGGATGGAAGCCCCATTCCAGTTGTAGATGAAACAAAATTCTTGGGTTTGATATTTGATAAGAAATTATCATTTATCCCCCACATCAAAACCCTCAAAAAGAAATGTCTGAAAGCCCTCAACATATTGAGAGTCTTATCAAACACTGACTGGGGAGCAGACCGTAAGGTCCTGCTCAGATTATATCGAGCATTAATAAGATCTAAACTCGATTATGGGTGTATTGTGTATGGGTCAGCCCGCGAGTCTTATCTCAAAGAGCTTGACACCATTCACAACCAAGGACTTAGAATCAGTCTAGGAGCATTCCGAACATCTCCAGTGCAGAGTTTATACGTCGAGGCGCACGAGCCCTCATTGCACGACAGACGTGATAAACTTGCACTGCAGTATGCTACAAAAATTGCATCTCTGCCTCATCATATTTCATTTAACACCATATTTAGACCCTATTATGAACATCTATATTTACTGAAAACCAATGTTATTCCATCCTTCGGTATTCGCATTCAACCCCTTTTGTCTCAGGCTGGTATCAGTCAAGACAGTATTGCGAATACCCCTTTCTTCGAGACACCACCATGGTCTATATCTCCCCCCAAGATCGATCTCGATCTTACAAAAAACAAAAAGAAAGATACTAGTTCCACAGTGTTTCAATCTCTCTTCAGAGAGAAAAGGTCTAAATATGGTGATTATGCTCCAATTTATACAGATGGTTCCAAAGATGGCGATCGGGTAGCATCGGCTACTGT